TTACAAAGTGTGTGGTTTAGTGGAATTCCACCCTAGTATCGCTTAGGCCCTCTGCCACAGTTTCGTTCAAAGGACGGCACCTCTTGCTGGAAGTGAAGATGAAAGCTGCAAACCTTCGCAATTCGCTGGCAGCGCTGAAAGCACTGATTTTACTCGTGGGTACAGATGAAACTTTGCGATGATGCGCTGGATACTAATGGGTAGCAGCATGACTGGATGGACTGCCGACTCCGGAAGAACAATATCCTAAAAGACTTGGAGTAGAAATGGTTGCTTTCAGGCGGGAACAACTTTTACCCACCTTTTTCAACTTTTTATTTAGATATCGTCCTCCGTCTCCGGACACTCCTCCAACGAATAGCTCGAACGCTCTCTGGGGCTGTGGTACTTGAAATGGAACCAAAGTATGACCAAGACCCTCTAGAACCTTTTTTGCCTCCAAAACGGCCCTCTGAAGGTATCAAGTAATTCAACATTTGAGGAAGGATGCAGCAAACAAACCTGGTTGGCAGGTGTTGGAGTAATGAACCCGTCTGTGGTGTAGAATCCTGAAATATATGCTTCGAGGCCACTTTTTTTGACTCTTGATGGTCCTGTTGGTTCAATGGACGAAGCTGCGCCCACTATTACACTCTTAAGCGGTTCAAAAGGGAAGGCCCATAGGGCCAACGTAGATATGCCTTTCAGTATAAGGACTTGTCATACCGATTCTCAATTTCTTTTCTGAAGAAAACATGTCTTCTTGCCAAACAACCGGTGGCACGTATGGATCCATTTCGTAGAGGTAGAGATCCGACCAGGCCTGCAAATAGATACGGCTCACTCTAGAAAAACGTTACAAAACAGTCTTAAGTTACTTGACACTTACCACTTTGAGGTATTCAATACAAGTACTTATGCTTTTCGCCATCGGTCCTTCATTGGCAGCAACCAGCTGACGTCCAGGAATGGATGAAATGGCGAAAGTGTGTGAGAAGCGAGGTGAAGATGGCTGCAATTCTTCTATTTCATGCGACCTCCGCCCACTCCTTGCGCGCGCCGCCCACGATGGGTGTGGCGTCCCTAGCTTAACTCATTTGCCTTTCGCTCTTCGTAACTCGTTCTTCTAGAGTATCTGACCACTACGGAACCAAATTAGGAGTTTTTGTCCATGGCACCTGTTTGTTACGGGAGCTACCGAACTAGCTGGAGCGCTGCTAAGGGTGTATAGTAGTTTTCGCTGCAGACGCTGAGGCATGTCAGGGGCTGGGTCTGGCGTGGCGCCAACTCTTTTTCCATCAATTGCTGCTGCTTGCTCGCTTCAGCTTGGTGGAGAACGAGCTAGCTCCGCGTAAACCCTGCCCTTCCCCCTGTCGCACTCCCATGCGTCTGCAGCGAAACGACTGCAGCTCACATATACCTCTGAAATACAATGTTAACTTTTCCAAGAGCACACCCATTCTTCTCCAAGGCAGAGACCCCACATTCCGTTTGGCTCCTCAAGTAATGCTGAATCAGGCGGGGATGGACAGGCAGACAGAAGAAGAGTCCACCGAAAAGCCAAAGTAGCAATTTATGCTCAGCACTTTGTAATAGTAGGAATGGCAAGAATAGTGAAGATCACCGATGTCATGCTATAGTCGGCCGGTCTTACTTCTAGCAGAGGAAATCTGCCGGCCACGCGGAATTTCCAATTGTCTGGATTGGAGTGAGACCATGGTTTATGAAAATATTAGCCGTTGTCCGGAAAGGAATGCGCGTTCGAGCTTAAAAAATTTTTTATTATAAAAACGAAATTAAACAAGATAAATTCAAAAGACAATCTCCATTAGTATCAATGACTTGTTGTCAACATTTATGCAAAAAATGGATTCCTCTTCTGAAGAACTCGACCGGCTGCGACTCAAAGAAGTTGGACACCCAGAGTTGGACCTTTTTCGCGGTTTGTGAATTTTCTCTCGGCCGAGTTCTGCATCGACCGGAACAGATGGTAATCGATGGTGCCAGGTCTGATCTGTGTGGCGGATGAGGCAGGACTTTCCAGCCCAATTCCTCAATTTTTTTCTAGAGTGATTTTCGCCACATGTGGATGAGCGTTGTCGTGGATAAATTTTGTCGACGTCGTTTCGACACTTTGAAGACGCAGTGCTGGATCCATGCGGTTCAACTGGTGTTTGCAGATGTCCGCCGTAACCGTCTGACCCGATTCCGGAACTTCAAAGTACATCAAACCTTTGCTATTCCACCAAACACGGAGCATCACCTTTTTGCCGCGTATATCAGGTTTCGGAGTCCGTTTTGGAGGGTCACTGGAGTCTAACCACTGTCCTTTTCTCGTTGCGTTATCGAAGCAGACCCTTTTCTCATTTGATGTAATAATAGAGTCGAAAAAACCGCTGTTCTTGGAGCGACGAAGAAGAATTCCGGCCATTGCCACTCGTGTTGCCTTGTTTGCGTCGCTCAGCTGGTGCGGCACCCGCTCTTCCCAACTTTTTTTCCCCAAAAAAGCAAAGTAGACATGGACAAAAATATATCAAAAGAAGCACAATAAAAATCTCTTTCTAATAGACAAAACTGTCTCCAAAAATCTTCTATAGTAGGAGAGAAAAAATGGACAAGTTCAAAAAATTCAACGCGCATTCCTTTCCGGACAACTAATACAAAAGTGAGCGCTGTTTGTCCGCGGGAGGCATTTCTGTTACTACTATTTGCTTCCCAAAAAGATACAGAATCTTCAGGCCCTGGTAAAACTTATGACCCTTGTTAAAGCTTGTTGCAGCATCGTCTAGCACAGTCATAAAACGTGTTCAACTCTGAGGAAGGCCTAACTTTAGACAGCGATGGAAAGCAGAATGCCCCCCCCCCTCGACAAACTGCGCCTACAAAGTGGCGCCTTTTGCCTTTGAGCTATTTCTGCTCGAAGGGATATCAAAGAAAGACCACAGATATTCATCTTGAAACCTTACCTTGAAACCAGCGATCCCACAAAATGTGCTAGGAATTCGGATAGATCCACCGACATCAGATCCTATACCAAGCACACTGCCTCCCGTAGCAATCAGTGCTGCCTCACCGCCTGACGAACCTCCAGGTACTCGCTCAGAGTTGTACGGATTGGTAGTCGACCCTGAAATTCATCGCTCAGAACTGAAAGGTTTTCATAAATTGGTGGCCCTACCATAGATAGGATTCGAACACCCATAGCTGACGAGTGACTGCGGTACATTAGGTGTGAACAAAGGGTATCGCACCTGAACAGGATTTGACACCTATAACAGGAGAAAAAGGGGAACTTTAGGAAAATGGATTACCATGGTGTAAAAGCTGTATGACGAGCGCTGCATTCGCCTTTGACGGCTTGTATAGCTCCTGCACATAGCCCATAGTTGAACACATGTTCCTGATCTGAATCCAAGCACATTGACCTTCAGCTTGAGAGCGTTTTTTGCGGTGGCGATGCAACGGGGATGGGTCGGTCCTCGCATCTCCTCTCTTCACCTATACCCAGCGTTCCGGGCCTATAGGCTGAGTTTTGCGAGGGAGCATCTACTTCTACGTATGGAACGAAGTATGCTTTGGGAACTCATGGGAGTGTCCTGCTACATCTTAGACACCGTTTAGTTTTCAGATAATCGCAACTTATTATCCTTGAGCGAAACAGATAGTGCGTACTGACCAAACAGAGCTTATTGTCCCCACAATGACAACCTCACAAATCCTCGCCTTTTTCAGAAAGCCATTGAAAGAGCTGCTAAGCTTGATGAGCAGGCAAAAG